TACTATTTTTGCTGAAAAAAATAATATTAAAAAAATTCTTTTAGATTATGAAGTATTTCAGGTAATAAAAAAGTAAGCTTTAATATATTATGCATTCTAGGGTGATAGCCATTAATTTTATGAATTTCCAATTTTGGAAATATTATCGTTATATATATTTTAACTTTAAATAAATAAATTTTACTCGAATTAAAAATAATGAAAAGGATTTTTAGCGTATTCGTCAATTTAAAGGTAATTTTTCAAAATTACACTGCTTTGTTTGATGAATAGAAAAAGAAGAACTTATGATATAATTGTTCATGCCGGAGTAGTTCGAAATATGAAAGAATTCTTTGCACAATCATTAATTATAGGAGCTTAAGCGACAACGTTAACTTTTATTTGTTGCATAATTCGTCAACATCCAAAGATCATTTGATAATTGCTTTAATTTTGATTCCCAGCCGATTCGAAAACTAATTAATGCATATGAGTTAGAGTTGTGAACTTTTGAATGAAATCTGCCCTGTCGGGATGGTTCAAAGTATGTCACATTTATTATCAATATAAAACCATATCATATCCCAAAATATTAGTTAAAATCTAGTGATTATACTTTGTAAAAAAAAAAAGAATTTATTGCTATTAAAAGATAAAGAGAAATAAGTTACCAAGAACAAAAAAAAAATTGAAGCCGATCAAAATATAAGAAATTTAAAGTCATTATAAAGGTTGTAAAATAAAAGAAGGTAAATTTAACATAAGATACATGAGATAGAGTTTAGTAAAGAAAAGAAAATTTTGGTCCAAACAAGCTCAACATGAAAAATTGGTGATATTATTCATTAACCATGAATTTAAATTTAATTGGTAGAGTTCGTACTACTATTATGATGATAACTTTTTGTCAGTAACTTGATCCAATAATACTATTAAGAACAGCGTGATTACAAATAAACTTTGCAGGTTCTGCTCCTAATATTCTGAAATGCGCACGTAAATGCGTTAATAACTGATATCGAATTGTTGCACAAGATAATATTCCACTGTACATGAAACGACCTCGAAATTTTAAATGAGACATTTCCCAATACGCTAAAGTTCCCTAAAAAAAAAAAATTAATTCGCAAAAAATGATATATAACACGTAATTTTACGCTTAATAACGTACCATAGCAGCAAGACAAACGGTATTGAGATTTCTAGAATTGTCAACTTGAGAATTAATCTATCTAAATATGAACTTTTAGAGTCAACACCTCAGATATGGTAGCATTGATGGCGAGTCAAACTTGATTGCTTATTCAGAAGGCTGGCTTCATCAGCTACACAATACTCCATCTCTTTAAGATGTTTTATTGTTTAATCATTGCATTTCAATAAATCAAATAAAACGTTCCTATTATTATTCATTTTTTAAAAAAGAAGAAAATAATTAAATCTCTCGCCACCAATCATGTAAAAAAAATTAGATCATCCTTATAATGTACCCAGGGTAAATAAAGGCTTTTTCTTATCTTGTACCCCTATATAAATAAAATTTTTATAAGTATCACGTGATAGACACAGTTAAGAGCAAGAACCTCCCACGGAACAGGACAAAAAATTAACTTGCATGATTTCTCCAATGAAATCCGGAAATTCATTAAAGTATTTTCTATTAATTCATCAATAAAAGTCAATAAAAATAGTGATTTATTCAAATAATTTTATAGAATCTGAAAACATCCTTTTAATGTTCAGCAATAGAACTAAAGCTTGATATAGACCTTCTTGATTTTCTAACACAGCTTCATAAAGTTGATACATTGTCCACGCATATTCTGATTTGCAATAATAAGCTATACGCTGAAATCATTTGTTCATTGTATGAATCAAGCTTTATTGGATCAAAAAATTTTGGTATTCGTTACCCTTCGTCAAACGAAGGATTATGTAATGGATGAGTTCTAATAATGTTTGATCAAATTATCCAAGTTTCATTGTTGTTCACGATATAGCTTATGGTCTACATGTTCGACATTCGAACACTTTTTCAACTATTTCAATTAATTCCAAGAAACATATTGGATTCAACAGGTTTGTGCAGAAGGCTCTATTTTCCAAAGGAGGACTTGTCCCTGACTATGCCTGTACTTGTAATTCACTTAATTTCAAGACCAAATTTTGTATGCCAAACTTATTGATCGGTACATCTTCAAAGTTTTGTGTTTTTTAGTTCCTTGATCGCATCGCTTTACGTTAGATCGATTTCTTATGACATAAACAATTTGATGTACTCCTTTATCTTTTGCTAGATTGGCGAGTTCCAAATGCGTTTCGTCATCATTTTGCGTAATCGATAATACGATCAATTTTTGTCAAGGCACACCATACGGATCTGCTTCACGTGCAAAAAAGTAAAGGCAGAAGACATATTGTTTGTTGATGTCCTACTAAGAAGGATCTTGTTTAAAAGTAATAATTAATTAGAAAAAAATCACAGCTTCCCCTCAAATAAAATCGCCAATTTTATTCTTATACTCAAATACAAACCCTTATCAGTTTCGTCAGCATTGCGTATTGAAATACTGGACAGAATTAATGATTCTCTATTCCTTTATCAAGGAAATTACAATGTATCGTTACCTTCAATGTTTTGCACGAATCCTGAATAGATGATTAGCGAGATGCGAAAAAAGCGTTAACTAATGTAAAAAAAAAATTGATTCTTTGGAATTTTTTTTTATTTACTGGTAAATCAACCATAAACAACCTATGCTTTTGATCGGATCCATCACATACAACATTTGTTAAAGGTAACCAATCATTATTTGGAAATATTTAATACTTGGGTTTAGTAAATATGAGCTTCAGTTAATATTCTATCGGTTCCTGTTTTACTCAATTTGCTATATTGGCAAATTCTACTTCTCTTGGTGGCATCGTTTTACGATTTTTGGCTCAAAAAATTACTACCCCTCCTCCTTCAGGTATGAATTGGTTGTTCGATTTGTAACATATGTATCGAGAAGGACTCCTGTAGGTCCTCTATTTAATGTCCGGTGTTTTTGCATGACGGAACTTTTACCGCATGATTGATCAGTATTTTTTGTGATTTATATAAAATAATCTCAGCCACATCTTACAGAAATTTTCATCCCACGTGACCTCCACCCTTGTCACACCCTCAGTTTTTTTTTTTTATTTTTATTATGTATTCTGAAAACTGAATTTTTTGGTGATGAAAAAAATATTTTGCATATATGTTATCAGAAACGTGAAGGTGAAATGTTATTTAGTAATTTTTGGCGATACTGGAGTAAATCCTTAACCACATCACAATATCAATTAATAAATTAAATAAACATAATAAAATTTAATAAAATTATAAAAAATATTTTGTATAAATATTTCTTTGCAATTTTTATTAAAAACAAAAGCTTCACTCTATTTTTCTTTCATTATAAAAAAAACTGCATTTTATAAATGCTATTTTCAAATGTAACAAATGTATTTTATTAAAATATTAAAAAATGTTTATATTGTTATCTTACGATACTAACGACTGAAAATTAGTATTAACGCAAGATTAACAAAGGGATTTAGCTTTTATTTAATACTTTTTAGGAAGAGCTCTGAGGGTTTACAAATAATTATTACTTCAAGCGATAATATATGTTTAGAATAAACTTTAGGATTTTATTAAGAAATAAAGAATTCAGTACAATTATATTTGTTAACATATAATTGTTATTAGTATTTATCTTGTTGGTGATAAAAACTAATTGAATTCCAATTGTTTACAAACTATTATCTTTTATTATCTATTACTATTTATTGCTACTTAAAGTTGTCTGCCTTAACCAAGTCTTAAAGCTATCCTATTTATACTAAATTTATTAATATAAATAAATAAAATACTAATTGATTATAAATAATAAATGATTTAATAATACAAAAATGATTAATAATATAATGGAATTTTCCGGCGACTTCTGGGTTTTTTGTGTAACCTTTATTTAATTTATTTCTCTCGTCTTTGCCGTCTTCGTCATTTAATATAACGCAGTCAATATGTTTTTTTAGTCACGTGTGTCACATGATCTTTTGGATTAATATCTTCCTATAACAGTATCCTTCCCTTTTAAAAATGAACTCCAGTGAATTTCCAAAATATTTGTTACTTATGAAATTCTTTGTTTATAGATTTCCAAATAACAAATTTTCTAAAATATTCTATTTCATTCTAAATTATTCTATGGGGTTGTAATTTGCTGATCAATTACGTGATAGTATTGCGAATTTTGCTGATCAATTATGTGATTCCACATGATGATTATCAATAAATAATTATTCAATAATTATTTGTTTATATTTTACAGAAAAGGAAATTCTCACAATCTTAAGAATTTCTAAGAGTTTGACATAGCCACTTCCTTTACATATAAATATTCGTTTAAAATTTTCATCTATTTCCTTTAAATTTTGCTTTTCCTTTCAAAATTATTGTAAAATTTCAAACTTTTCTTGAAATATTTTTACTTTTATAATTTCAATATGGGTAAGAGTTTCCGCAAGCAATTTTTCTTACGCTGCTAATATAACCTTCAAAATCAAGAAGAAGAGACTAGACAATGAAGAATAGATGAACTTGATATTGAAAATCACAGGCTTCAACAACTATTGAATTCCTTTTTGTCTCAAGTAAATAGCTTATCTAACAAAATTCATCGTTTGTCTTCTCATTTATCTCATAATAGACGTCAATATCGAGACCTTAAAATAGAATACGAGAGCCTTCTATTTCAGTATAATTGTGCAAGAGCTGATATTAATCGCCTCTAAAGTTATGAAGATATCCAATCCATTCAAAATCTTCAGAACAATTTAGATTAAATACAAAGAAACTTTAGGAGAATATTGAACAACTTCGTCAGAGAAGTGAAGAATTTAATTTTCCTTATTACGTACCTCTTAATGATTAATTTACTACTAAATGTCTTTTCAGGGAGAGATATCATTTACATTTTTGCCTGTCATAGAACTACGCTTTACCGTCGCCTTTTTGGCCGTTCTATAGACTATGCTCTCTCTCTTTATTTTTTTTTAGCTAGTATTAGTTATCTTAGATAATTTCTTATAAATGTATTTTCTTTTTCTCCTTTATATTGATGTATTTTATTATCTTTTTATTTTCAATAAAATTTTGTATATCATTGCGTTTTTGCCTTTTTAAATTATAAAATTTTCCAATAAAATAATGAAAGTAAATATTTTATATAATAATATATATTATTTTTTTTTTTTTTTTTATCACATGATATTAACTTCTAAATTTTGATTTAATAATTTTGTGTTTCTATTTTAAGATCAGTTCCTTTCAATATAGAGTTCCATTGAATTAATTCATTGAGTTCATCAATTTTAAGTCTTTTCACCATTCAAATATTAATATGTTGCGTTCTCATAATTTGTTTAATATTGTCTTCAAAAATAAGAAATAATCATTTTGCTGCAGTATAATAATACTTTGATAATTTTGAATCTTTTTGCAAAATATTTTCTTTGTTGATTATTTCTCCTATATAATAAAGATAAATTAAAGATTCTCTTCTTTTCCTTATAACTATTTGTCATCGTGTATACTGAAATAGTATTTTTATCTTCATACTTAAGTCTTAAAAAGATATATCAGACAAGAGTGGTAATATTACGTTAGATGGATTAAGTTCTAATAAATCAAAATATATCTGTTGATATTCTTGTGACATATTTTTCCTTGTTATTATTATTTTAATAAAAATTGAATCTATTTATATTATAATTATTGATCGTCAGAAGTACACAATGTGAAAGTGGGAGTTTGAAGACTGAAGGTCTGATCTCCACTGAAACATTGTGTATGAGGCTCAGAACATTAAAAACAATATCAATTTTTTCTTATATATTAGAAAAAGCTTCTATCAGCTCTAGAATCTTAATTTTGATATTATATTTTAAAGCTTTATATGGGTTCTACAATCTTAGAAAGCATATCGATTTTTATTAATATATTAGAAAAGCTTCTAAAGGCTCTAGAATCTTAATTTCTATATCAACTTTTCAGTTATATTTATTAAATCTAATGAAAATTATTATATTAGGAATTGATTCTGCGTGATTTTTCTCATTAAATTGCATATTAATTACTTAAGTCTAACCAAAATAAGTCTAATCGTCCTAATTACCTCATAAATAAGTCTAATTAAAAAATAGGTCTAACCAAATAACTCTAACCATCCTAATTACCTTATAAATAAGTCTAACCAAAAAATATGTATAACAAAAACAGTTTCAGACACGTTAGCTCATTAAATAGCATATTGAATAAATAAGTTTAATGAAAAATTATAAATAAGTCTAACTGTTCCAATTTCTCCATTATAAGTCTAATGAAAATATGTACGCCATGTTTTATATCTATGTACGTTAGCTTATTAAATGGCATATCGAATCAATAAGTCTAACGAAGATTTATTCCAATCCCCTCGCATAAGTCTAACGAAAAAATGTATATCAGGAATTGCTTCTGTACGAATTAGCTCTTTAAATTACATATTATTTAAGTCTAACCAAAATAAGTCTAACAGTTTTTATCCTAACTTTTCCTTAATCAAGAATTGCTTCTGCAAGGGTTTGCGCATTAATTAACATATTGAAAAAATTATATGATCTTTTAAACCTAATAAATTTTACTATAGACAAGAATGGCTTCTATACAAGCTAGCTCATTAAATTGCATAATCTTTAAATAAATCTAATGAGATTTTTGTCTTAACTTTTCCTAAGTTAAGAATGTGTTCAGGGCAGGTCAGATCACTAAATAGCATATCTAATATTTAAGAAAAGTCTATATCAAAAACTACTTCTAAGCGAGCTAGCTATTTGAAAAAAGTATATTAATCTTTAAGTCTAACAAAAAAATTTTAAGTCAAATGATTGTCCTAAATTCCCATTAATAAATCTAACAAAAATTGTGAATAAAGGACTGGTTTTGGGTAGGCTAGCTTTGTAATTAGCATGTTTTATATAAAAGTCTAACGAAAATAACCTGTAAAAATTCCAAAAAATCTATGAAATTGTCCTAACTTTTCCTTAGTCAAGAATGGATTCTGCACGAGCTAGCTTATCAAATAGCATATTAATTATAAAACTTTAACAAAAAAAATATATGCTTTGCGTCTCCGGCTAAAAAGCAAGTCTAACGAAATGTCCGTTAGATATTGTGCCCAAATTCTGGTTAAGATATAAAACTAGCCGAAATGGTCTTTTCATTTATTTGCTTACCTATTCTGATTGATAACTAACGTAATAATCTCTTTCTCCTATTTTTATCAGAATAAGGCAATTCCTACAAAAAGAAATATTAAGATTTGTAAACGTATTTTTATAGGTAACCATTATTTCCTTATAACTTCTTTTTCGTATCTCTAATCGAAGTCTATCATATAATTGGCTAGCATAGGATTGGCTAACATAAGTTCTTTCTCGTCGAAGTTTATCATAGTGTCAGGTAACATAATAACCTCTAACATGTAGTGGACATCGTCTACAAGCAGAGGTTGTAGGCTTTCACAATCAGAACAAGGTATACGTTTTTTAGCCTTCTAATGGAAACGACATCCTTTAGGTCTAG